GTGCGGGGGGGGGGGCAGTCTGAGGAAGCACAGCTGGTCCCCTGGGTGACAGGGTCCCTGGACACCACTTCCTGCTTTTTAAGTCATTAAAGGTCAAGAACTCCATCAACATGGAGTAGTGTCCAGCCCAGCAGGGAAGGGTGGCCTTAGAAAATTGGGAGGCCCAGGGCTCTGCTACTGCTCACCTGGGACTCTCATTCTGAGCCTCAGTCTCCCCATCTGTGCACCAGGAGTTGGTCCCAGAAGATGAATTAGACTGAGTCAGGGGAGGACAATGGGAGGTGCTTGGCACCATATCCTGGTTAGATTGGCCAGGCCTGGACAGGCTGGCAGCCCTGAGACAGAGGGGCACATGGGTGGCTTCTTGGCTGGGGGCCAGGACGCATGGGGAGAACTCGAGGAAGATGCTGTTCATGGCCAAGGCCTGGCCAGGGTGGGATCTGAGTGAGTGTGGGGTGGGTGGGGCCCAGGCCATGTCTGGGAGTAGGTTGTCCCTGGTGGCAACTTGAGGCTCATTCTGAGGCCCAGGGCAGATTCTCATTCAGGTGACTGAGAAGTTGAGAATAGATACCCCCCACATACCTCCCTGCCCAGTGTGTGCCCACCTACTGCTGCCCACCTACTGGATGGGGGGGTACGGGGGGCGCTATGCATGGATGGGACCCAGGTTTCATCCTAGGGCCTCCGCAGAGGTGCTTGGGGGAGGGGAGCTGATGGCTTTGTGGCTGTGGGCCAAGGTCCTCAAATATAGGATGCTCTGACCTGGCTGGACAGGATCCGAGGAGGGTTAGAACCTGGAACCTTTGGGGTAGGTCCAGCCAGGTAGGTAGTCGGCAGATATTAACTGAGCATCCGCTGTGTGCTGAACCCGTACAAGGGACTGGGAAGCCTGCTTGTCTGTGCTGCCCACCTTTCGGGGAGCCACTGTGGTGGAGCCAGGAAAGATTAAGCCTGTGATGCCCGACCTCACTAGCTGCCTCTCGCAGGGCAGCAGGACCAGGTAGGGAGAAGTCACAGGCCCTGGGCATGGATTTCTTCACAGAAGGTTGATTAGATATAGATATAGATATAGATATAGATATAGATATAGATATCAGAGAGGAAGGGAGAGGGAGAGAGAGATAGAAACATCAATGATGAGAGAGGATGATTGATCAGCTGCCTCCTGCTCGCCCCACACTGGGTATCAAGCCTGCAACCCGGGCATGTGCCCTGACCAGGAATTGAACCGTGACCTCCTGGTTCATAGGTAGATGCTCAACCACTGAGCCATGCCGGCCGCTGTTGCAGCGCCCACTGTTGGTAAGGTGAGGGGTCCAGTAGCCAGAGGCTGGGCAGTGAGCGAGTAAGCCTGACTGTGTGCGAGGTGTCTGTGGTTGGGCAGGCTTGGTTTTATTTGTGAAAGTGACTTGGGGGGGAGAGAACCCATGAGCTCAGGAAATGCCCATGTCCTGGTTGGGGTGACCACCCGGTCCCGGTGCCCCCGATGGCCCTGCTTTTAGCACTGAGAGTCCCGCATCCCGGGAAACCGCTAGGCATCTGGCACACCTGGACACTGAGTCCCCCTCGTCCCCCACTTCCTCTCTCTTTCCCCGATGACTTCCTGTTTCACAACAGGAGAGCTGGAGGCCCAGAAAGGTTAACTGATCTTTGGCCTCAGAAAGTCATGATCAGAAATTGAGCTCTGAGGGCAGCTGACTTGACTCGAGCTTGAATCCTGGTTCTTCCTCCTCCTCCTGCTGGAGCTTTGGCTCCTTTTGTGTAACGTGGAGCCAGGAGTGAAGGGTGGGCTGCCTCCTGGATGGTGGGCGTGGGCAATGCAGGGGCTATGCTGGCCTTGACCTGACCTCTGCCCTCTGCCCCGCAGTTGCTGGTTGAGAAGACAACCGACTCACCGGCGGCTGAGTTCTCGCTGGTGGAGGACGTGGCTCTGCACTTTGCCTGCTTGATGGGCCGTCTGAATGAGCAGCGCCTCTTCCAGCCTGACCTCTGCGACGTGGACCTGGTGCTGGTGCCCCAGTGCAGTGTCTTCCCGGCGCACAAGGGCGTGCTGGCCGCCTACAGCCAGTTCTTCCACTCGCTCTTCACCCAGAACAAGCAGCTGCAGCGTGTGGAGCTGTCCCTGGAGGCGCTGGCGCCCGGCGGCCTGCAGCAGATCCTCAACTTCATCTACACGTCCAAGCTGCTGGTCAACGCGGCCAACGTCCACGAGGTGCTCAGCGCTGCCTCGTTGCTGCAGATGGCGGACATCGCCGCGTCCTGCCAGGAGCTGCTGGACGCCCGCTCCCTCGGCCCCCCGGGCCCCAGCGCTGTGGCCCTGGCCCAGCCAGCTGCCAGCTGCACCCCGGCCCCGCCACCCTACTACTGTGACATCAAGCAGGAGGCCGATACCCCGGGCCTGCCCAAGATCTACGCCCGAGAGGGCCCTGACCCCTACTCTGTGCGCGTGGAGGACGGGGCGGGGACTGCGGGTGGCACCGTGCCTGCCACCCTCGGGCCAGCCCAGCCCTTCTTCAAGGAGGAGAAGGAGAGCAGTGTGGAGGAGGCAGGCGGGCCCCCGGCCAGCCTGTGCAAGCTGGAGAGCGGGGAGGAGTTGGAGGAAGAGCTTGGGGGGTCCGGCACCTACAGCCACCAGGAGCAGTCCCAGATCATCGTGGAGGTGAACCTCAACAACCAGACCCTGCACGTGTCCACGACGCCCGAGGGGAAGCCGGGTGCTGCCACCAGCCCGGCCACCATGGTGCTGGGCCGGGAGGACGGGCTGCACTGACACGAGGAGGAGGAGGAGGAGGAGGAGGAGGACAATGAGGAAGAGGAGGAGGAGGAAGTAGGGGAGGAAGGCGGTGGCAGTGGAGGGGAGGAGGAGGAGGAGGAAGGTGGTAGTCAGGGGGAGGAGGAGGAGGAAGAAGAGGAGGAGGAAGGGCACAGTGAACAGGAGGAGGACGAGGAGGAGGAAGAGGAAGGACAGAGTGAGCAGGATCAGGACAGCTCGGAGGAGGAGGAGGGAGAGGAGGAAGAGGAGGTGGGGGTCAGACAGGGGACAGCGGGGCGCAGGGGCAGCCGGGCAGAGCCCCTTCCCCACAGTCGCATGGCCACGCGGTCCCGGGAGAATGCCCAGCGCCGGGCACCCCCGGAGCCCGAGGAGGCCAGGCAGGGTGGCAAGAGGCCCAAGCAGCCCCCCGGAGCGGCCCCGGCGCCAGCACGAGGGTCACAGGCCACTGACGGGCTGGGGGCCAAGGTGAAGCTGGAGGAGAAACAGCACCACCCGTGCCAGAAGTGCCCGCGCGTGTTCAACAACCGCTGGTACCTGGAGAAACACATGAATGTGACCCACAGCCGCATGCAGATCTGCGACCAGTGTGGCAAGCGCTTCCTGCTGGAGAGCGAGCTGCTGCTGCACCGGCAGACGAACTGCGAGCGCAACATCCAGGTGGGTCTCGGGCCGCCTCATGGGTGGACGGGGCGGGACGGGGCCGAAGGCCAGCTGAGGCCGCAGCCAGCCAGGCGGGGCCAGGCCAGAGCTGGGCCCTGGACATCCTGGGTCCTGCTGCCTGCATGGCCCAGACAGTCTGGGGAGGCCAGACTTAGCCCCCTGGACAGCGGGCCCAGCCTGGGCCCAGAGTGAACCAAGAGGGTGGGGCCCAGGTTGTCGAGAACGTCAAGGAGAGCTTTTGGGAGGAGTCAGAGAGCTCCGGGCTTTGACACTTGGGAAGATGCGCAGATAAGACTAGAACAAGCAGTGCCCTCGGCCAGAGGGCCCAGGGAACGCGGTTGGGAGGATGAGAGGAAAGAGTTGCCTGAGCACATGAGACTGGGGACAGCCAGCTGTGAGGAGGGATGAGTCAGTGTTTTAGCAAATCCTTAGGGCTACCCTACGGCCAGCGGGGCCACTGTGTCTAGTCTCACAGATCGGCAGTGCACAAAAGCATCGATGAAGGGAGGAGGCATTTACCCAGAGTGGGGTGCCATTTCCCACTCGCCACAAAGGCCGAGTGAGGGGCAGCTGGGCAGGAAGGAGTCCCTGCATTCAGCTCTTTGGAGATGCCAGCTGGCCTGGGCCTGGGGAAGAGGGACTGGATGAGAAATTTGGGAAGAGCAGAGGCTGCTGGGGCCAAGTGGGGAGCTGGGCTGGCTGCCAGGCGTGGGGCCAGCCCAACTCGATGCCAGCCTGGCCTCTCAGATGTGGGCAGGGCCAGCCAGGCTGGTTTTTACCTTTGTGGCTGAGCGGTGGTGAGATGAAGCCGCAGGTAGGCAGGTGCTAATTGCCTGAACTAATTGCTAATTGCAGTGCCCTGTGGAGAAAGTGTTACCTGGGGGTTACCTGGTCTCCTGCTCCACCTTCCAGTGCCTGTTCCCACTCGCCTGCCTGCGGGGCTGCTCTTTGGCTCCCCCCGTGCCACACACTTGAGCCTCCCTCCGAAGGGGAAAGATACCTGTGCTCCTTCCTACCCGGGCAACCTGACCACCCTGACCCAATTTCCGCTCGAGCCCTGGCCTTGCCTCCAGGCCTCTGGGGGTGTCCTGCAGGGATAGGCAGGAGGAGGGTTCAGGGGAAGAGGAGGAGGGGAGTGTGACCTCAAGTTTCCCACCACCCTGCCCTGCCCATGGGAGCTGGTACCTTCTGCAGCGCTGCTGCCCTCCCCCTTTCCCACAGCAACCCTTTGAGACCTATCTCCTTGGTGATCTCCATGGTATCAGGGCATGGGTCCCAGCAGGGGGAGGAGGCTGCAGAGATAATGGCCCAACTCTGTCGGGACCTGTTATCTCAGAGGGGCTTCCACACCCCCTGTGGCCCTTCAGCCAGCCAGGTGTCTCCCCTCCAACCGCAGCAGGAGGATGAGCACGGAAGAGGGCCTCCTGGGAGAAGTTCTAGTTAAGTTCAAGGATGAAGAGGGGACCAGGCTGCTGTCCTGGGTGGTGGGTGGGTGTTTAGGGAGCTCGTACCCCCAAGTCCCAGGATATCAGATCTCACGGGCCCTTGGTCTCAAGGGCTCTCTCTCCAGCACGATTCAGGTGAAAAAAAAGGAGGCCCAGAGAGGGGCAGCGACTTGTCCTGTGTCACACAGTCCTGACTCAGAACTCAGGGCCTGAAGTCCTCTTGCCCCACAGTGTGTGACCTGCGGCAAAGCTTTTAAGAAGCTGTGGTCCCTCCACGAGCACAACAAGATTGTGCACGGCTACGCGGAGAAGAAGTTCTCGTGTGAGATCTGCGAGAAGAAGTTCTACACCATGGCTCATGTGCGCAAGCACATGGTGGGTGAGTCTGGGCCCCGCGGGAGGCGCCTGAGGGCAGAGCTGGCCAGCTGGTGGGTGTGCTGGGAAGGACTCCACATCCAAGGGCAGTGTGAAGGGGTGAGAGGGCCCCTCTGGCGGGGTAGCTGGTTGCAGTGCCAGGGGAGGCCTGGGCAGGTCGCACGCTACACAAGGACTCCTGGACGAGATGGCGGGTGGGGACCAGAATCCCGCTGCACAGGCCCTGCCTCAGTTTGAGGACAGCTGTGCTTCTGACTCTTTCTTACCTTCGGGTCCTCACAGGGCTTCAGGCTCTTCTGAATGCACCCCTTCCCCCGGGTCACGCCTGGACACAGTGAGGAGGCTCCCCCAGTGTGTGTGGGGCCTCCCCTCTGCCTGGGGCATGGCTGGCCCTCCCTTCCTTGCCCGCTCATAGATTTGGGCTCAGGGAATGGTGGCCAAGGTGGGCCTTACCCCCTTTCTCCACCAGACAGTGCTGGGGGCCTCCTATGTGAACTGCCTGGGACCTGGGACCCGGGGCCTAGGTCTCAGCCAGGAGATGCTGGGGTGGAACAGGATTGGTGGCCCTTCCTGGGCGCAGGTTCACCAGCCCTGAGCTCTGCGGGGGTCCTCCCTGCCTCCAGTTACTTCCTCCAAGATCTGCTTTACCTATCCATGGGTTCTGGGGGGAGTGCGCTAACTTTTAGAGCTGTCGTCCCCTGGAAAGCCCCCACGAGTGAGCACAGTACCCCCCTAGCCTCCTTTTGCAGAGGAAGACACTGAGGCCCACCGAGGCCGTGCGTTCACCAGCCCTGAGCTCTGCGGGGGTCCTCCCTGCCTCCAGTTACTTCCTCCAAGATCTGCTTTACCTATCCATGGGTTCTGGGGGGAGTGCGCTAACTTTTAGAGCTGTCGTCCCCTGGAAAGCCCCCACGAGTGAGCACAGTACCACCCTAGCCTCCTTTTGCAGAGGAAGACACTGGGGCCCACCGAGGCTGTGTAGGGAGCCCGGGCTGGGCCAGGACTTGAGCTGAGGCCAGTCCCATTAGGATCCTTCCACCCGAAATTTTGGAGGGTGAGGCGGTCTTGGCTATTTCAGAGGCTAAAGAGCCATAAGGGTTTCCTTCCATGCTTGTCAGACCAGCCTTCAGAGCAGATGGAGGAGCCCACGGGGAAGGGAGCCTGTCTGGGGGCAGCCCCACGTCCTGGGACGGAGACTGTGAGGCAGACCCCAGGGCAGGGGGGTCCCCCAGAGCTGTGACCGCCCTGTGCACGCCCTGCAGCTCACACCAAGGACATGCCCTTCACCTGCGAGACCTGCGGGAAGTCCTTCAAACGGAGCATGTCCCTCAAGGTGCACTCGCTGCAGCACTCGGGGGAGAAGCCCTTCCGCTGTGAGGTGAGCTCCCTGCTCCCCCTGCCCCGGGGCCAGGGCGCCAGGGCAGGGCAGGGGGCAGGGACAGCAGCTGTCTAAGAGCCAGGGGGACAGGGTTCTGAAAGAGGGGGGCCCTCCCTCTGATGTCTGTGGCCCTTGCTTCCCACTCCATCCTTTCCTGGTCACCCGCCGGCCTGCCCCCACCACTCACTCTGCCATTCCACCCCTAACCCCAACCCCACACAGCCTGGGCGGGGAATCTGCCTGGGCTGGAACCCTGGGGCAGGCTTTCAGGAGCGATGGCGCTGCAGGTGGGGGGAGGAGGGGCCTAACAACACAGAAGGGGGGGCAGGGGGCTTTCATCTTGAGGCCCGCCTCCACTCTGTGGCCTTTTCCCACTTCCTGGCCCCTATTCCCACCTGTGCCCT